TCTTGCAGCTTCTAGATCGAGGAATATAGGTGGAGTATGATTCAATCCTTAAATTTCCTATCGACAATCATTAAATGAAGTTGTTTGTATACGAAGCAGATGGTACTGTCACTTGCTTGGTTTCAAAATTATGTCAACTTTGGATATCATTATTTGGTAGAAAAATTAAGGATTCCAAAGCTCATGAAATCTGAGATTAACGGGTAATAAGTAAAGAGGATCAAATTATAAAATAATTAATTTTATTATAAAAAATTAAATCATTTAATGATTAAATTATAATTGATTTAATTATAAAAAAGTAATATTATGTTATTATAAAAATTAATCAATAAAAAAAATCAATGGTCATCTCTATTCTTTTTTATAATAAAACTAATTATTTTATAATTTAAGCCTCTTTAATAAGATTCTACAACTGCACTAGGACAAAAGGTTAGTAAGTTGGACTGTTTTGGGAAACCGCGTACTCATGTCAGAATAGGATTCCTAATTAAAATGAGAGTATGTGACAACATTTCTCTTTCAAGTACTCCTCATCACGCCATTCTCACGTACCGTAGTTATTTTCCATCTTCTAGACATTTCAATTTTTAATATAAATTGTTGAGTTTCATTAAATAATTTTAGGATATATTGTATAATAAAATTAAGGAAAAATATAAAATTTTAAGTGAATAACTTTATTGATCATGGAATAAATGTATTTTTTTTTTTCTGATATCATTTCAGGCTTTCAGCTTAAACAGCATATAATAATTAATTAAAAATAATAAATTTATATTTTTAGAAAGTTATTAGGTAAAAAATGATGTAAAAAATGTAGTTAGAGAAATTCTAATTGGCGACAGTGAAAATGGATGGAAATTTCCATATATATCCTATCACTGAGTGGTCAAGAACTTGGAACGTATTAGGTACGTCGCCAACTAATTAGCGTATCAAGGTGTGATGTAGGTCTATTTCCTGACCATGGGAGTAAGAAAGCAACAGGCACAATATAAAACGTGGTTTCCTTGGAAAGAAGCCCGTGTTCTAACTTCTATATGGTAGGTTATTATATAATTATATATTATAGTATTTTAGATTTATTTTTATTTTATTAATTTTTAGAATTGAATTATATTTTTTAAGTATTGATTTTTTTTTAAAGTTTAGTAAATATTTATTTTAGAATTTTAAGCCCGTTAAATATTTATTAAGAATTTTTTCAAAGTCAAATATTTATTGATAATTTGTTTAAAGTGCAATAGGTACTTATTTAAAAATTTTATGAAGAATTTTATTATTATAATAATTTTATATATAATGAAGATAGATAATGTCAGGGGACTAATTCCCTAGTAAGTTGATGGGACACCAATAGAATTTTTCTTTTTTAAAGGTTAAATTTATTATTTAGCCCGTACTTTTAACAATTTGAATTTATTTTTGTCTTTTTATTTTTATTTTTATTTTTTGAACATATTTGCAAGGGGCGGGTTTCGAATCCAGTTCGGGGAAAAGGGGAATGCACCGGGGTGGCTATTGCCACTAAGCCTCAAGGGCCAGGTGCGTCTTTTTATTTTTTTTAAAGTTAAAATCCATTTAAACTTACATGATTAGAGTTTAAAATTTTTAGGGTTCAACATTTAGGATATTAGGGTTTAATTTTTTTTTAATATTTAGTATTTATATTATTTTAGGGTTGTGTTTAAGATGTTAGGATTTACATTTTTTAAATTCAGTATTTTACAAATTTAAAGTTTAGATTTCTTAAGATTTACTGTTTAATGTGTTTATTAAAGAACAACATTTAACCAACAAAAATATAATTGATAGTAAAAAAATATTGATTATACTTGTATAATTGATAAAAATTCTATCAATTATATTAATGTGTCGATTATATGGGTATAATAGATAACCAATTATATCGATTATATGGGTATAATCAATAGCCACTATTGGTTATTGATTATGCTTGTGTAATCAACAACAAATTTTGTAGATTATATATATAATCGA